AGTCAATATTATATTTTGAAAATGTCTCATCAAGCTCAGAGAAGCTCTTGAGGTGTTGGTCAACATTTAATGCAGTGATTTTTTTTCCCTGATTTGACACACCTGGTTTGAATGTATGAGTGATTAACAATCTTCTGAAGACCTGCTGAAGAGCAGAGAAACAAGTAAAACATGCTGGATAGGGGTCCTTGAGGACCAGGGCTGGGAACCACTGGTCTACACCACTGGTGAGGGTTTGCACGCCCTGTGAGAGTACCCCAACMGRGACTATAACTCAGCCTTTAGATGGCAGATRTGGTGTGGTGGTTGATGACAGTCATCCCCCTATATACTCCAAGCATCAACAAAAGCTGTATCAGTTTTGCGGATAAGTTGACCAACAGGTCCAATCCTGGAGGGTCACCATCCTGCAGGTTTGACTTGTTTCTCTGCTTCAACACAACTGATTTAAATGAGTGAATGATTAACAGGCTTCTGCAGAGAAACAAGMAAAACATGCAGGACAGTGGACCTCGAGGACCAGGATTGGACACTGTTGGTCTTATGGTGCTGCTCAGAAGAAATGTAATGATGGAGCTGTTGAAATTTGTAGAAATTTGATCTGGTTGGAGCCATTTTTGTAATCTGGATGAACAGTTCTGTGTCGAGACTCAGCACCTCTCCTCTGTTTTTTAGCACTGACCCATAAAAACTAGACGTTGAGATGAAGAAGAAGCAGAGCACCATGCAGCGCCCCAAACGTGGGAGTCGGGCCGGCGCTGGGGACGCTGCTCTCAGATCCGACGTCTCAGCAAACTCAGAACCAGTCCAAGAGTGCCCCTCGCACCTCAGGAGCCTGACCATGTCGCAGCACAGTCACAACCTCCTCGTGTTTCTGAACGAGGACCGGACCCGGCAGAAGTTCTGCGACGTGTCCGTGTCGGTGGGAGGGAAGGTTTACAGAGCCCACAAGGCGGTGCTGGCTCACGGCAGCAGCTACTTCCACGCTGAGCTGTCCAAGAGCCCCGCTACGACGACACACGTGACTCTGGACCACGTGGAGGACTCGGTCTTCCAGCACCTGCTGGGCTTTCTGTACACGGCTGAGTGCGTCGTCTCCGAGACGGAGCTCCCAGCTCTAGCAGAAGCAGCCCGGTTCTTAGACATGATGGACATTTTAAAGTTATTGTGTGAGGATCGGGGGGCCAGCCCTGTGCAAGCTGAGAAGAGGGGGGCAGAGGTTCRCTCCAGTGACTCTGCAGGGGCTGACGCAGAGAGCCAGAGTCCCTGTGGGGCTAAACACAACCTGGTCACGACCCACGCCTCAGCTGAGAGTACTGATCCATGGGAGGAGGTTTCTACTGATGGGGGGGAGACGGTGACGGGTCAGAGMGSCKCTCTGACCCGGAGATCAGCTCGSACAAGGAGAACACCTACTAAARACAAGAGGGGTGATTTAAAGCGGGAACAACAAAGAACTCCGCCCCCACAAGATCAAAACCAAAARGAGCAGGCTACAGCTGACGATAACGAGACCTCCAGACCTGCTCAGGGGGATGACGTGATGGAGGAGGACGTGGAGGAAGACGAGCGAGTCGATACGAGCGCCACTCAGAATATACCCGTTGAGGTCTCGGGAGCAGACGGGAGCCCAGCGAAGGAAGATTCACTTCCTGAAACGACAGAGCGAGAGCTGGAAGTCCACGTACCGGCTGCAGGAAGCTCCAACCAGAGTCCAGTGTACCCCGAGGGTCTGGCTCCGGTCATCATCCACACCTCCAGCAAGAAGACCCTCAAGTGTCCCAAATGTGACAAGACCTTTGACCGTGCAGGTGAGGCTCATGCTGGAGCATCCTGAGGAGAGGTAGAATCTTCAGTAACATTAGATGTACATCTGTAGCTGATTGAAACCTGATACAAGATGGCTGCCACCATCAACTCACCTTTAAAAAACACTTTAACTAAACATGTACAAACAAGCAGTGTTGTATAGTACCCCAAAGAGATACTTGAGTAAAAGTACAAGTATCTTACCAAAATTACTTTGGTAAAAGTTAAAGTCTCCTTTAGGAA